AAAATGAAATTCGATTATCAATAAGCAAAAGAGTTCTAAAAAGTCGTCTTTCTTCTCAAACGTGGGATTGTGATGTTTTAGGGTGCAATAAACCTTGCGGTAAATCACGTCCCTCCGGAGCGTGGTCCAGCCGTACAAACGTGAACCTCAAACCGCAAACCTGACGGCAAGGTCCTGATCAGGTGACTTCTTGACGTTCGCGGTTCTCGGGAAATGCTGAAAAACCTCAATCTTAAGATCCCTATTGTCTTAATTCTTTTATTTGTAACGGACGCCAGTTATAAGTCGCATAACCTCGGTCCCTCAACATGGCTCTGTTCTGCGCCTTATTACCCGCTCTTCCTACCTCAAACTCCCTTCTGCCGTTTACACCTTCTTTTCTCCCCGTTTCCAGTTATAATGCATACCAAACATGAAAAGGCAAAACAATTAACTGACAAACAGCATTTTATTTATTCACTACTGCTTCATACTACTAGACAGAAGTTTAACACGGTCTTTTCCAGTTGTCCACAGGTAATTATATCTAAGATATACATGTATCTTCTTTAATATGTTCTTAAAATGATCTTAATAGGTCCTCGCTCCATATCCCGTGTGCAATGATGACACGAGATGGCGTCTTTTTACTGCTTAGACCTGAGTTCATTTCGATTGATCCTTCATGAAACATTTGGTAATCCCGTTGAGGTTTAAAAAAACAAAGCCCTCGTTTTCACAAGAAAGGAAAAGCCTGAGGGATTCTGAAGTAAAATTACACCAACGTACAAGAGCAGGAAGTTATTAATGCCACTAAACTGTGCCTTTATTTCTCAATGAAACTCCTATTCTAATGTAGTCCTAAAATCAGGGCTCAACCCTGTGTGGTCAACTTTCGTTTATTGAGGTCACTCTCAGGACCCCGAGTTAGTGTCCTTGATAGTAAACAAAAGCCCGCAATAGGGAGGGATTTAGCGGCTGTTCGTATTGCTGGGGTGCCCGTAATAGCAGGGTGTCCGCAAGGTGAGAGTTGACTGTATCCCTAGTCCTTATATCCATTTCGCTCCCGATTTCACAGAGTGCTTCTCTGAACCGATCAAAAAACAAGTAAGCAGTTTTATACTCGGTACTCCCTACATCTTAACTATCATGTTGTCCATCGTAGTTTATTTATCAAATGCATGCCATTGTTAGACTCAGTAATTAGCATTAATTTCAGTTGACATAATATGTTTTGGAGTTTTTTCTAAGTTTTCATTGACATGATTTTTTTTCTTGTTTTACTCGAAATTTGCATGTAAGCGGCGCGGAGCCCACGTCTCAAGCCCCGAAAGGTCTGGTTCCAAGTTAGAATCTTTTTTTTGAGAGATGTGTTTTTTGTGCTAGTTGCATCGGGAAGTTTTGTAATCCGTCCGAATTAAGTCATTTGCAAAGCTTTCTTTGAAGAGTGTCATTAAAAATTAATTCGCCATTACATAATAAAAATGTTTAAGTTATAAGCACTATAATCTGCCAAATGGCTTAAAAGTAGTACGTTGTCCTATCTCACTTTTTCTTCCTTTGCTAAAGTTATTGTAAACAGATATTGATATTGAAGTTAAAGTGTGAGTAGAGTCTTCCTTTTAGATGGTTACTTTGTTTTTACAATAAAGCCTACTTTAGCGAAATGATAGGATATGTATAGACTTTGTTTGCATTTGTGTCTAGTTAGTGCCACAGTAACGGAGATTACAAGTAGGTGTACCACTAAGATAGTACACGTAATATGAACCACAATTTCTCACTTTTATGGTTCTTGAGTAATAATAGCAGTTGTAACCACGTCTAAAATACACCGTCCTGGTGACCTGACCGTCCGCTACTGAGGAGTGTCCTCCACTTAGCCAGCCGGGATAATAGGTACCACACCTATAGGTAGGTGGACATGATGTTGCCATTCTTGTGCCGGCAGACCCCTGGAAACGGAACCATCCAGGGCCAAGACTGCTATCACAATAATAGTTGCCCCAGTAATACGAAGTCCTTCGGCTTCCGCTATTGAGACTCCCGTAGTTCTGACATTCTGACACAAAAGAGGAGAAAGAACATCAGTCGCTAGCAACGTTTCAGTTAGTTGTACATCAGCTCGACCGCCCGATATAAGGGAACCCAAGACAGTCCTGGATTCTGGATTCCACGCCGTGAATTACGGATTCTAGGTACTGGATTTCAGTCTTTGTCAATGGAACTTGGATGCTGGATTTAAAAGGATTCCGGATTCCAAAGCCTAGGATTCCGGATTCCACAAGCAATTGTCCAGATTCTGGATTCCACCAGCAAAAATTTCTTGGATTCTGGAATCCGCATTCCCTTACACGGGGCGAGCTCGAGGTAAAAGAGGGGAACTGTTCATGTTCTAAATTCCCCAACCACATCCTCACTGTTGACCAACAACAACACAGGAAGAAAACACTATTACCCATGAGCAGTATATGTTAGGCATCGTCATAACTTGTGCCAGTATAAACCGATGAGTTATCTTTGTTACATACGACGTTAAGTTTTGATACAGGAATACATGGATTCATGTACCGCCTTTAGCTTTGCCGAGTATTTCTCAGGAAAAATAGGTCCGTGGATATATAAAAAAGTGCTTGAATATTTCAGGATTGACGATAATTAATAATTACAGGTAAAGATCTCAATTTTATTTTGTAATCATGAAGCTGATTCAATCATTCTATACTAACATTTGCAAAAACGTTCTGGCAACTAACAATTGATTATAAGCCTTTCGCGTACAAAGATTCGCTAGACTTTGAGATTTTTTTCTGTGCCAGTTATATTGTCAAAAGACTGTTAACTGAAAGGTCTTTTCTTATAAGCACTCTGCATAACCACCATAGTATATTTATACAAGGTCACTTATAATGAAAACGTAGCTTCTAAACGCATTGAGCACGGATGCCCGATACAGGTTAAGGGTCAGCTATTCCCGTCTTGCTGGGCTTCATGACGTAGGCAATAATTCGCCATTTGGCCATTTTTTTGCAAGTAGCTAAAATCTTCGTAAGGGTAAAAACAAACAAAGAAAAACAAAATACTGTAGAACATACGCAAAAAAGTCGATCTTTGAATCCGTTATTTGACCAGTGACAAAAGGACGCGTAGCAGGGTCCTCACTATCCTACCCTGTTGCTCAAAATATTGCACCGCAAGATTTGTTTGGCGGGCACTATGCCGATTGTTTTACAAAACCGAAATCAAGAATACAACTCTAAAGACTCCATAAGTCTACCATCAAAACGGAAATGAACAAAGACAACAACAACAACAACAACAACAACAAAAAAAACACAGCGATCGTTTAATTGTTCGTGTACTTCTGACTCAGAAACTTATTCACGTGTATTTCCTAATCTTATAGGTAATTCTTATAACTCGCCTCGTTATTGTTGTTCGGTTTTTCATTGAGATAGTGACTGCTATCGCAGTTAATTAGCAAACTTGAGAAAGCCAACTCCCCTTAAAGTAACAGTATAAATTGCACTAAAGTAGACTTGCCCACAAGTCGAGCCGAATACTGTGCCCTCTCAAGGCCGCTCCCTGCAGGACTTCATTAACAAACAAGGGTATTTCCCGTGACCACAAAGTGGTCGAAGGTCTCAAAAGCTTTCCTTTTAAACCAGCCAATGGATTTTAAATGTAAAACCCCGTTCAAGCAGCCAAGGTCAGCGCAAGGTGCATCACTCACTAGTGTACGGGTTTGGTAAATGAAAATCTTCCTACTTTTCCTAATTACCTGATGGTATATTGCAAGTTCTGCCATCTCCAATGTAAGAACTGTTACATGAACAATTAAAGGATCCCACT